TCCCTACAGCCCAGTAAATTAAAATTCTGAAAGAATCAGATATTAAAATATTACCAGAGGCAAAGTAAATACTTTTAATAAATAGGTGTCTGCATTTCACAGAGCAAGACACAACAGATGACGTTGAGAGCTACTCTGGGTAACAGTGTTGTATAACGTCAATTAGAGCTTTTCTTTCTCTTCCATATAATTTCTTCACCAACAAATGGGTACAGGGTTTCTTTTTCTTATTTTCTTTTTCTGTTGTATTCAACCCAGTCTGCAGTGTGACACACTGTAATGTAACTGCACCTCTTCATTTCCTACACCCCTACTTAAAACAAGAGGTAAGAACCACAGAGACGTAGCCTATTCCTAACCCACTCTCATTGCGCATTTTATGCAACCAAACTAAGGGGATCAGAGGAACAACCTTTCCCCCCAGGTAATTACACAGAAGCTTTTTAAGAACACTCTGTTAGTACATAAATGCAGTTTAAATGACATTCTAGAAAAATCCTTGGAGTGACTTGTGTTATTAGGCACTGCCTATGACATGCATTGCTAAACTAAACAGAAAATATATATCTACAAGTCACCACCAACAGTCACGAGGATCAGAGCAATTCTTTTACAAAAGATTTGGTTTTGACAGATACTTCTACCATAAACTTCAGAAGAAGGAAAAAAACCTTCCATAAACTATGGAAACCACAATTCTGTATTAAAACTCTGGCAACACTGAGGGGTTTTTTTGAAGTGAAAGATACTTTTAGAAATAGGGATTTTACTATTCCACACAATGTCTCAAATCACTTTCATTACGCATCTGTGTGGAGATGTTTGAAACTGCAACAGCACCGTTTGCTGTCACGCCACTGGAAAATAATGATAATAACAAAAAACTCCCCCCTATAAATACCTGCCACTTCCCTTTCTATGTGTTTGCAGCTGACTAGCTACTCAAGATAGAATCCTGTGGCCATTTCAGAATCAAAGTGAATTCAGATCAAAGTGGTTTATGAGAAATCACTGATGCACCTACTGGGTTCTGAGCTGCAATTCCACGCGGCATCGTTTCTATTGAAGACGGTGAACCATATTTTCACCCATGTCAAGGAAGATAAGGTTGTTTTCTAAAGGTTTACTGTGTCTGCCTCAGCTTGTAATTACTTAATTCCATTCCACAA